CAGAGAACAAAGAAACCTCCTCTAACCTCTTACTGAAAAGAACTCCAGTCTTCAGCAACGATAAGCAGAGATTTGGAGGTATCTGACATGCCAAATCCTATTCTTTTGTAAATCTTGGCTTTATACAACATTTTCAACCATGTTATATTAGATTTCTCGAAGGATAATCAATAGGCATGATGTATAACTGAAAGCACTGTTCAAAGCAAATCTCTTCCACAAGCCAGAAACAAAAGCTCAGGTTTTGTTGCTGGAAATCTACTCTGAACTGTTAGGGTGGGGAGGCAAGAGCCGCCAGGGAGCAAATTAAAAAAGCCCGTTCTGACCATGGCTCTCTTTGCTGAAAGCAAAAGTCACCCTGAGCCTGCTGTAACTTATTCCAGCTGGCGATGGTCCCTGAGGATTCCTGTTGCAAATTGGGAATGCTTAAGCATGGCAGCTACGTGGAGAGAATTCCTACATGGTTACAGAGTGGGAGGCATTCTGGGTTCTTGGCACCACCGGATTAGTGAGAAGTGAGGTGCCGATCCTCCAGAGGATAAGACTCAACATTCAGATCATAAGGCTATGACCCAAACTCTAAATCTGTTTAATTGGTATGACATTTTCAAAGACATTAATAAACTTGCTAATAGGGAAGCTGTGAGGAAACAAGGATCTGCCTCGTGCAAAGTAAACCCCTGTCTGAGCTGGAGATTTCCCATGGAATGCTGGAAGGCTTGACTCTAGCATAGCTGAGATTCTGTCTCTCCTTGTTCATGCTGCATGGCCTTCAAAACTGATCACAATGCCTTCTAAAATGGACTGTATTCTAAGCCATGCTTCTAAATTTGTGTAATAAAAGGCTTAAAGCTTTCCTGAACTCTGGGAGTGGGGGGAAGCTTGAAATCAGACCCCCCCCCCAGATGTTCCTCCTTTCTTGAATGTTTTTTGGTTAAGTTTGCAGGCAGTCACTCCAAATTTTGGAGCTCCATAAAACTTAGAATTCCTGTGGGGATAAATGCAGCCCAATAAAGCCTGTTTTCAATTCTGATATTATTGGTTTTTTACACTCCTGCCCCTTGTGGACTCTTGTTTTCAAGAATATCATGGGGAAACCTGTCAGAGGGTTTACTAAAATCAAGATATGCTATAACTAGAGTAACTGTATAAAAAGATACAATTATCCTTGCATGATTTGTTTTTGAGAAACCTATGTTGCCTTTTAGTGACCACAACATTCATTTCTAAGTGCTTACAGGTAGTTTGTTTAATGACCAGATTCAATATCTTTCCTAGTGTTGAGACTAGGCTGACTGAGCAGTAACTGTTTGGGTCCTCTCTTCCCCTAGGTTTTTGAAGACAGGGACAATATTTGCCCTCCTCTAACCTGCTGGGAATTCTCCTGTTCTCCAGGAATTCTCAAATATGATTGCCATTGATTCTGAAATAACTCCAGCCAGTTCTTTTAATACTCTTGGATGTGATTCATCTGGCCCAGTTGACTTGAATTCATTTAGAATAGACAGGTATTGTTGTAGTGTCTTTATTCTGTGCTGCATTTTCCCAAATGCATCATCTGTTCAATTTTCCACAGGTTGAGCACTGTTTTCCATTTGGGAGAAAGTAGGTGTTGAGCAGCTGTGTCACCTTTTAGAACTTTGCCAACCTCTGGTGGCCCTAACATTCCCTTGTCCTTTCTTTTGCTACAAATATAACCAAAAAAGCATTTTATTATTTTGAGTCCCCCAGTAGATGTGTGTGGATCTATTTTCCTTTGGTACCTTTGGGAGTACATAACAGTAAGAGTCCTCCCGGTGTGAAAACCTGCCCGCAACTAAAATAAGAGGGAGTCGATCTCAGCTCCCTCCTCTGCTTTTGGCATCAAAGTTTAATCTTTTTTATTAATCCCAGCAAACAAAAGAAATCCCCCATTCATTTAAAACTACTACCATTTACCTCTCCTCTAGAGTAGAGAGTAGAAACAGCTGTAAGGAAGCATTAAACCCAAAGCAGAAAGGAGATTGAAGTGTGCCAGGAAAAAAGTTTTTTTAAAAAGAAAGCCCAGGGAGGATAGCTCCAGGAGGTCATCGCTCTTCCTTACCCGGAAGTGGGGAAACCTGCTTTAAATGCCTTGGAAAGAGTGCATGGTGTGGTGCAGGCCTGGGAGAGAAAGCACATGTGCCTGCAATAAAGCGCCACCCACACAATAAAGTGTGGTTTAAGGTAAGAAGCTACCTTAAAGCAGGCACACCTGCCTTCAGCACCTCTCCTCTAAAGTATAAACAGCTTTAAAGCCTTCTTAAAGTGTGCACACCTGCCTGTAGCACCTCTCTAGAAACAGGTAAAAATGCATCCTTAAAGCATGCATGTCTGCCTGCAGCACCTCTCCTCTAGAGTAGAAACGGCTTTAAAGCCTCCTTAAAGCACACACACCTGCCTGCAGCACTTCTCCTCTAGAGCAGAAAGAAACAGATTTAAAGCCTTCTTAAAGCATGCATGCCTTCCTATAGCACCTCTCCTCTAGAGTAGACAGCTTTAAGAAGCCTCCTTTAAATGCCTTGGAAAGAGTGTGTGCAGGTCCGGAAGAGAAAGCATGCGCACCTGCCTGCAAGACCTCTCCTCCAGAGTAGAAACAGCTTAAATGCCTACAGTGATGGGAAGGGGGGGGGCTGGGAAGCCCCCCCCCCCCATAATGGGCTGGATAGAACCTGAAACTTTCGGCACCCAGAGTGAAAATTGATACCTGCCTTCCCAAATTTGGGAGGATTCCAAAATGGACTGCAGTTTATCTGGAAAGCACAGCCTACCCCCCAGCAAGCCTTAACTACACTTTTTTTCTGTCTTTATTATTATTATTAACTTTATTTGTACCCCGCTAGCATCTCCCGCAGGACTCGATGTGGCTTACAAAGGCCAAGGCCTCAAAACACAACACAACAATACAACACCTAAAGCAAATTAAAACAGTTAAAGCAATATTAAACAACAAGCAATAAACAATACATCAAGACTCTATAAAACTGGGCCGGGCCAGGGTAATGGGTACAAGATTAAAAGTGCTGATGTGGCAGGAGGTATGTAAGGATTATCAGGTAAGTGCAATGTGCAGAGTGCAGCAATCTTAGTTCTAATAAAGTGCTTCTGGGACTTGTTATTGGAGATTCCTATTCTGGGAAGGCACATCGGAACAGCCAGGTCTTCAAGTTCTTTCTCCCTACATACATTGGCTAGTCATTTGAATTCTTCTTTGGTGATTTTCTTCTTTAGTGATTTTCTCCTTTTCCATTTCTTGCACATTTCCCTTTTAAATCGCAGTTCAGTAGAAAGTTCTTATAGACATACATCCTGGTTCCTTTAAACACCTCCCATTTTTCCTTTTAATTAGAACTGTTTGAAATCATGCCTTCAATTTTGCTTTTAAGAAGCTCTCATATATCACAAACTTCCTTCTCTTTGAGTATTCCCGACTACAGGATCACAACCAGTATTAAGCTGGTTGAATTCAGCTTTCTTGAAGTCAGACTTACATCTAGAATGACAGCTTTCAGAAAGTCTAGGTAATGCAAGCCCACAGAGTGAGATAAAATGAAAGACTAGCTAATTTTGTTATTTCATATTGCATAGCCAGAGGGCCAAACTAGACAATACACTTAGCATGCAATTAGAAGTGAGGCTTCTTTAGATAGTGAAATATGTTTGTTTTGCTTAACATGTGCTGTCTTTCACTTTGTATCTTTCAGTTCAATTGTGATTAACTGTCAGAAGGTAGACCTGGGTTTAATTTGCAAGTCTGACTACTGAGGCATGAAACTCTGGCCCCTTCTACATTACCATATAATCCAGATTATCAAAACAGATCATCCACATTATCTGCATTGAACTGAATTATACGAGTCTACACTGCCATGTAAACCAGTTCAACTCAAATAATCTAGATTTTATATGGCAGTGTAGATGGAACCTATAAGGAAGTTCTGTTACTGGAAGGGAAAATATGCTTATCACTGGAAATGTGCAGTAATTGTAATGTTAGATCTTAAAGACTATTCTACATATGTTTTCTTTCAGTATCAAATAAATAGTTTCCAGGTAAAACAACATCTTTAACCCACCACCTGTTCTCCCAGATAGAAAGAGTTAATGTGACTAAAAATGCTGGCAGATCTCCTCTGTAAGAAGCAAAGCATCACAGATTATATTGAGTGTTCTAACAGTGCCATGGCTACCATACTGGCAGAAATTTCATGCAAGCAACACTCTCTGGTTCTTTTAAATAGCTTCCCAGACATCGAGATGCATATAAAAAATTAAGCATAAATATTGCAACATTAAAACTGAAGTCCTGATTTAAAATAAGCAAGAAATATAAACCAAATTAATAATGAGAATCTGTACTGGACTATTCTAGGCATAATCAAAATGCAATAATAAATTATTTGATTAATTAGCAAACTAAGAGTTTCTGAAATGAGATAACATTGTCTTCCCATATCAGCACACCATATGATGAACCAACTCAAGAGGACCTTTTTTCTTTTTCTTTCTTTCTTTCTTTCTTTTCTTTCTTTCTTTTTTTTGCATAGGAGGAGCCCTGTTATTAATTTGGCAAAGGCAAAAGTTAGGAATCTGGCATTGTTCAGCTTGTGAGACTAGGCCATAAAAGTGGACAAATTTCTTAAATAGTAGTACAGTAGCAGTTTGAATGTTTATATTAAAATCTGGCATAAAAACTCTGCAAATAAGTAAATGAAAATAAAAAAGTCAGTCCTCTACTTTTATAAGTTTCGCTTTTGCAGATATGATCAATGTGTTCGTGCTCGGAATTTCTAGGTTCCCCAGAACAACAGAACTTGACCATAGAGTTACACAGGAGGACTTAGAAATTACTAGTAAATCTTTGCCTCTTGCTTCTGCAGATAAAAGTGAATTTTTGCAAGTACTTTTAAACAATTTATTGTCTCTCCTTCCCTCTTCTTTTTCTATGGTCCAAGTAAGGAAAAGGGGCCTCTGTAACATACCTTTCCCACTAGGTCAGCAATTGAGGGTACAGGTTTTCCTTTCTGGTGTCTTATAGTCGGTGGACTCTGCCCATCCCAGTCTTGAAGTTCTTCTATGCTCTTCAGATAAAGCAAAGCCTTCAGCCCAGTGCAATAGTCTTCAATCACAGTAAAGTCTTGATTCTGTATTGCACTGCACACCTACAAAAAGATGTACAATGAATTAGGCAGAAGGTTGATCAAAGATGACAGTTGTTTAGACCACTGGTTTTTCTGTCTCTTCTCACAATGTGTTAGCTGTTGTAGACTTTCAGTTAACTTAAGTTGTTTTATTTTAGGTTTTCTGGGTCATCCACAAAGTACAACTCAAATCATGAAGATATAGACCATCAAACTCTTAAAAAAAACACAAAAAACAGCTACAAAATAAAATAAACAAAAGAATTAAGGACTATAAAACATAGATACAAAAAGACAAAAGACTAAAAAGGGAGAGGGGGAAGGTCCCACTAGAAGGATCATAATGTAGTCATCAAACACTATTCTCTTGGGAAATCAATCAGTATTAGTAAGGAAATTAAAACAAACCCAATGATTGTGTCATTCTGTACATATTGAAAAGAAGCGTATTACTTATATGATAGCCAGTCCAGTTATCAAGATTCCATAGGTTCGGTCAAACATTTAAATATTCTGATTTTTAAAAATCAGTTTTACTCCTGTACAGCTGCACAATAATGCATGCACTTAGTCCCTTATATTTACATTCCAGAGCACAAATATTACATTTTTTTTTTTGAATTGGGGAATGACATAATTGTACCTTCCTTGAACAGAAAACTTGAAGGTCAGCCTGCGATTCCTGCCATTTACTATTTCTAGATACTGTCCTACAGCCTATTCAGAACCTAAAAGGATATTATAAATTAGATTAAGCCCTTGAAACTGGGAAATAACTGTATAATGTATCTGGCTCAGAGGGAATGTGTTATAGATGATGTTGTCATGGAATAATAAGAGCGTAAAAACATTTTAATGTTATCATGTCAATATAGGTTTTGATGTGTGATTGCAATGATAGCATTCACTGATTTCTTTCCAAATGTTATCTGTTTAGAATAATTTCAAAAATGTATTTGCATTTAGCCACTTTTATACATCTTTGTCATTATCTGCTACTACTGGTATTAGTAATACTGCTACCAGATTATGGCTATGGTTTTGTATCACCTACTTCATGTTGGAATATGTAAATTACTCAGCATTTCTTTAAATCAGTGGTTCTCAATCTGTTGTCCATGGACCACCAGTGGTCCTCAAGAACAAAAATATGGTCTGCAGCCTCACCATTACTACACTGTTGCCTTGAAACCATGTGGCAATGAGAGACCTCACAAAACTCTCTTATAGTGTCGAGGCGAAGGGGATGTCAGGAGGGGAGAGGCTGGCTACCAACAATACATTACTACTACCACATCAACTCTAGATTATTAAATATGGTTTTCTATGGGTGAGCAGATGGCAACTACTGGATGGCATATGTTCTGTATCAGAAACTAGAGCTGATATGGCCTATCCAATGCAATTTTCTGAATCAGCACCCCAAATAACCAAACTGAATCTAAAGTTGACCAAAACCCGATTCGTAACCCTTTTGGTACTAATGTTGGAAAGTGGTCCCTGGTCAAAGAAAGGTTGGGAGCCACTGCTAACTGAATCAATGTCTAGGATTAACCACAGATATCACTGTAATTGGGATTTGGTAGCAGAGAGCTGAGGCTGTTGCATATAAGTTTGTAGTAACCCAATGAAGCTTTCATGAGGGTTGGAGTGTAGTGGATAAAGATAGAAGAGAGAGAGTGAGAGAGTTAGTTTGTACATGCTGTAAATACTTTGTTAGTATTTGTACTCTTACTGCAAATTAAGAAAGAAAAGCCTTCCAGTTGGAACAAACAGCTTTGTGTTTGAGTGTTGTTTTTGTTCCTGTTCACTTCACTGCAAAAAGGTATTTGGCTCGCTAACAGGAGTTAAGAGCCTCTGCTATACAACAAGGAATTTCATGCTGATTTGAACCTCGATACTTCACTACATAACCACCTTGGGTTACACACTGAAATAATGTCTCCAGGCCCACCCACTCCCAGTCCCCACTTAATAGGCAGCAACCACTGCAAGTGACAAGAGTTTGTTCCCTTTTCAGTTGGGAAGAAGCTGTCTATTTTTTCCCACACTGCCGTGTGGACAATCTCTTGTGCAACAGCAAGAACCAGGGTCATAATTGCAATGTGCAAGTTTGTGGATAGATAGTAACATCAATCTGCCACTTCCCAACTGACTGGGAAACACACCCCTTTTGTCCCCAGAAACTGCTGCTCAGTTAGTGGGAATCGGGGGACTTTTACAGTTCCTATATGTCCCCAAACTAGGGAATACACAGGAATTGGGAATACAAAATAATTCAAAAACTGATATTTCTAGATTGCACATTTGTTGATGCCTTACAGAATTCCAGCCTACATCTCAAGGAATTTGTTTGAGTAAAGATGAACAGTAACATATTCGCATTTAACCAGAATATTAAAAACTTTGATTTGCCTTCTATGTTTATTAGTAACGATCTCCCACCCACTCCATATTTTTCAAAGGCAAGTTAAGCTCTGGACCATGCTTTTGGAAATAGAATATGGTCAACTACCAAGAAAAAAGGAAGTCTCGCATAGATGTTTCCATGTGACCTTCCAAAATTAATTCACACAATTTGCAAGGTTGCATCTGATAAATCCCCACACAGCATTATTGAACTTTTATTCTTGGTGTCACATACTGTATTACAAGCTGTTGTTCAGGAGGAAGAAAGCACACTTTACCTTTTGAAATACTGTATACTGCAGCTGCATGAGAAGAAACAAGGAATTCGTATAAAATATGCACAAGAACATTTCCTATGCAGCCCATTTACATTACATAAAATCTGTTTCTCTGGAGGAATAGTGTGAGCATTAATTAGGTCTGTTATGTCTTCCATAGATTTAAACTCTTTCGCTCTCTCTTTTCCTCCAGAACAATTATAGAGAACATCATTATAATTTCCTCCACAGGTTATTTAACTGTAAAACTCAACCAATGCTTTATTTAAATTTCTTTGTTCACTAAGGGCTTCTAATTTTTAAACATATGAGTAACACTATTCCTAGTTAGTCAGAAAATGAAAGGAGGCATTGAAAATTCAGGTTACAAATATGCTAGTTTATATAATCCAAATAAGCCCCACTCCATTGCTGAAACCTTGTACTGTTATGATAATGGTGCAGCTGAGCTATGCAAGAGCATTATATTTAATCTTATAAATAATCTATCTATTAATATTTGTCACCTTATCTTGGCAGCATGATATCAGAATGCAACCAATTTATGGATTCAAAAAGGAACACAATCCAGTCTAATTCTCCATTGTGCATCAAACATATTCCCAGAGTACCATAGCGAGCTTTAGTAAAAACCCTGCACCGGAGCAAGAAATAAAGCAATGGGGCACAGCAAAATACTTGTACTAAGTCATACCTGTACTAAGTAATGTGGATGGGTATGTCAAGTACAGAACCTGAGTCAGCTGTATAGGACAGCAGGAGTTGATGCAATCAGATTTTAAGCATTGTTATATGCTGAGGTAGGACTGCTTCCCACCAAAGTCTTCCATTTCAGCACCTGCAATATACTCAAAGAGGCCATCAGGCTTGAAGCTATACATTGTGATTGTGATGATGGGAATTTCCTATGCCAGTGGAGAAATGAATCTATTCTAAAAATGTCTCTTTTAAAGTAGCTTTGCAAGTTGCTGAACCTATTTGGGGGCTGGGCTTTAGTACTTTGGATAGCTCCTCCAAGTCTAAAACAACCTAACAGATTCACTTCAATCATGCCATGGAAGCCACTCGTTGCCACTGGTGATGGCGCTTCTGAATGATGTCAATTTGAATTCCCTGCCTTCTTCAACAGTGCTTTCAGAAGAGCGACTTGCTCAGGCTGTTTCTTGATTTGATTATGATTCCTCAACCAAAAGACCTATTTTGTGACTTCTAGGAATGGCAACTGGTACCAGCTGCCCCTCTCCCCAAGATATTTGAACATCTCATCTGAAGTCATGAGATTCCTGGGAAGATACAGGTCTTGTTTGTTCCATTAAGTACAGTTACAGCCTGCTTTTCCTTCAGGAGCTAAAGGCAGTATGTGTGGTTCTCCTCTCTATTTTTATCCTGATAGCTACCAGATGACAAAGGCTATGCTGAGATATTGTGACTGAAGGTAGTTTGTTAGTGGGATCTTGGTGCCGGGTCATATTACGACTATACCATTGCTTCTTTACAGATGAAACTGCCACTTAAAACTCAAGATTATGCCTCTTTGATTAAATACTCAGAGGTGTAGAGAAGATGAACTCTCTTGTCTGCTCTCTTTATTTCTGCTTTCCTGGCCTCTTTTTGAGGGCCAGCAATTTCACAGATTCATCAGTCACCATGTGCATCAGGATATAAATAAGCAGCAAAGATTGACTATTCTATCATACTCGCCCCCATATGTTGTATCTATCTAACACCAAAACAGTGATATTTCTATGTACTGCATTTAGTAATAACGTGAACAGACAATCAGAGGAGATCAAAGTGAGTTTCAAAGTAGTTTCCAGGCAATCAGACAGCAGCCGCTTTCATCTGTGCTGTTACAGTGGCAGCACACTCTTTGGAGATCACAAATGTTTCATTCTTCTATCATTTTTTTCTCTTTCTTTGTCGAAGTCATAAAATTCCAGCATTTACCAGAATGCCATCTTGCTTTACCCAAAAGATGGGGATTTAGTTCTGTTTTACTACTGAACGGTAAGAGATTGCTGAGTAAAAAGTGCTTTCCAAATGCCATCCTATTAGGCAGGCAGCCTTTGACCTCAAGCTTCTAATTTTCTGATCATATCAATGGGATAAGCAAAGAAAATGAAGTGGTTGGTATCTTTGAAAGGTCCAGCAACAGACAGGCTGTTTTGCATTTCTGCTTTTAATTTGGCTGACTTTTCTTTGAAATGTTCTTCAGAAGTAAAGCACCACAGGTGTACAAAACATATATGCAGCCCCTTTGATTCTTCATTGCATTATACTTTCTTATTCATTTTGGCAGTGATAAATACAAAATATATTAACCTTTTCCTTCAG